ACCTTTAGGCTCCTCACCTAGTGGAAGGAACAGCAATGTGTCTACTGAGCGAGAGAATCAGATGCCCAGCTAAATTTTCCTAAAAAAGTGATGATTTGCCCAGTAAGAGAGGAAGATGGGCCAAAAGTACAGGACTTCTTGTACTTTGGGATGAAAATATTAAAAGGTATCCCAGCAACTTTCAGGTAGCAGATGAGCTCTCGCAGTGTCTTTCTTTTGACACATCTCCTCTTCTGGAATGGGAGCAGTGGTGGGATTTTTATTACCGGTTCTGTGGGTGGGGCTTGGTGGGCGTGGCAGGGGAAGGATATACTGCAAAATCCCCCTTCCCTCCTCACTCCACTAACCTGCTTTCCAGCTCCGTTCTCCTGGGCAGGGCAACCAAAAAAGACCCAACCAATCAGCTGGGACTCAATGGGAGGCAGGGAAGAGATGGGGTTGGCGGGGCCAGTCAGAGGTGGGATTGGGCAGTTCTCCGAACGACTCAAAATTTCTGCTACCGGTTCTGTAGAACCGGTCAGAACCGGCTGAATCCCACCTCTGGAATAAAGCAATATGTAGAACTAAGTAATCAGTGGAACGACTTGCCTCCCAAAGTTGTGGGCTTTGGGCAATCTTGGTGCGTTCACCCACGCCCAGCAGACGAGACCGGCCCCTGCTTCAGGTGGGTGTCTGAGTGGGATCCGTCCTGCAGCCAGAGAAGCCTCACTCTTTCCTCCAGCTACAGACGCCCCGCAGACTCAGCTCTCGCCCGTGGCTCTCCTGGGGCTGACCGCAGCAGCCTCCAGTTTCTCCTTCGGCTGCCGCAGTGCTTCCCAGCATCAGACTGGCTATGCTCCAGAACCCAGGATATCAAGCCACAGGGGAGCCTCCGCCTGCCCCCCACAGATTTGGGTGGCGATGGCCATGGCAGGGCAGGCGTCATGGCGGATGTGGCTGCGGGTCCCAGGCGCGGGAACTGCTAGTGATGGCTGCCTCAACTGCTGGGCCCAGCGGCAGCGCTGACGCCTTCACGCCCCACCAGCACGCTCGAGGGGACGGAAGCAGTGGTGGGATTCAAATTTTTTGACTACCGGTTCTGTGGACGTGGCTTGGTGGGCGTGGCAGGGGAAGGAGACTGTAAGATCTCCAGTCAGAGGCGGTATATGCCGGTTCTCTGAACTACTCAACATTTCCGCTACCGGTTCTCCAGAACTGGTCAGAACCGGCTGAATGCCACCTCTGGGCAGAAGGCAACCCACCCGGTGTGGCTGGGGCTCCCAGGGAAAGGGAAGGCCGGCAGCAACACCCACGAAGCCGGTCTCGGAGACATGCCCAGCACTTTTTCCAAGTCACTTGAAAATGCCAAAAACAGTGAGACTCGAGAAGAGACTTGCAAAAAGAAATTGACTTTATTTATGGCCAGAAAAAAAGATCTGGGTGCACTACGTCCAGGACCTACAGATGCAATCAATGCGTGTTAGGAATACTCACACTGAGGGGAAGGTCTGGCTTGCTTTTATATCCTGAAACCATCATCGTCTTATTCCCTAACTCCGGGCTCCTAACTTCCTGCAAAAGGATGCCTTCAATGCAGGGGTGGAACGCTACAGGTTCTGCCCAGTTCTATAGAACCGGTAGCTCTGAAGAGCAGCAGACACCAAACCGGTTCTGTCTTTGCTGCTGTTTGGCCCACCCGCCTGCCCGGGCTCTTACCTGTCCTTTATTTCTTGCTTTTTCAGCCTCAGCTGCTTTGCGCGGCCCAGCTGAGGTTGAAAAAGCAGGGAAAAAGAGGCTTTTCAAATGCTGTGCACCTGCACGCGTTTTTCAGCTGTCCGGGCGGCACAGCTGAAGGGTTTTTTACACACACACACACACACACACACACAGCAAAATGTAGTCACAGAAACGGTAGTAACACCGGCTGAATCCCACCCCTGCTTCAACGTGATCTTAAGCTTGGGGAATTTCCTTGGTCCCCCAATTAGCCACTTTAGCGTCCGGTGCTGCTACACAGATTGCCCTGATACACAGCCAGTTCCTGGACAGGAAAAGGATTTATGGATTTAGGATGGAATCAGATAACCGAACCATTTGTCTGATATGTCTGAATACAGGAAGGATAACGAAGGATAGAAGAGATTGCGGGAGAGAACATCGCCCATTCACAAAGGTCAAGTAAATGCTTGAATAACAAGCCCCCCATCAATGCTATCATATATTCTACTTTTATTTATTATATCCTTATTGGTATTTCCCTACACTATAATCCCATTTTTTTTAACACAAAAGGTCCATAAGCAGGTTCCAATCACCAATATATGTAGGCAACATCTTTAGTAACCCCGGTTGTTAAGTGAATCCGGCTTCCCCCGTTGACTTTGCTTGTCAGAAGGTCGCAAAAGGGGACCCTGGGACGCTGCAACCATCATAAATACAAGCAATCACTTGGCAAGCATTCAAACGTTGATCGTGTGACCATGGGGAGGCTGCAACAGTCAGAAGTGTGAAAAATAGTCCTGTCACTTTCTTCAGTGCCATTGTCACTTTGGTCACTAAATGAACTGTTGAAAGTTGAGGACTATCTGTACTTTCCAGAACAGCATTTCCCAGCATCGTCACGGTGAAAATTTGCTATTTTGAGTTCTCCAAGTGGGAGAATGCACAACTTCGTGGGTTAATTTGTGTTTATTGGGTCGCCCCTCACATTTCATAGGCTGAGGTTGCTGCAGATGAGACCCAGATACTGACCCCCCACCGCCCCCCTGCCCATCCAGGCTCTGCCCTGGGTGATACCTTTTAATGTGCTTGGAAAGCCACAGGTAGGTAGTTACCTGCCTTAATTAGTCCTCCTGCTGCTAAAGACCATCCTGGGCAGTTTGGGTGCATTTGGGCAGCAGCCATAACCGCAACCAAGGCCCACTTGGACCACCACCTCTCCTGCAGAGGCTAGGACCCCCTGCCCTGGGGAATTGCCTTGCAGTCAACCCATGGCTGGTGGGATCCCTCCCCAGGAAGGACCTGCACATCCTGAGGACACATACTAAGGGCGTCACATACTACTGAATCTTGGGGAAAGTCTTCCGAGCAGCTAGGAATTTGGGGTGGGGGGTGTTCGCTAATGTTACACCTGCATTGCCTGCTTAGCTGGTGCTGCCACTTAACACTCCCCCCCCCCCTTCCCGATTCCTAGCAGCTCATAAGTCTTGGCTGACCTCATACAAGAAGAGGCTGGGGTCAGTGTGGCTTAACATGCAGAGGGGGTTGGCACAGCTGGGAAGTCAAAAGACATGGGGTGGTCTGGCTGGCGGGGGGGGGAGGCAGGCAGGGCAACACTTTGGACAGAGCTGAGAAGCACCTGTGGACGGAGGGTTAGATTAGGAGTTCAGCTACAGAATTCTTTTTTATTGGCCAAGGATGATTGGACACCCAAGGAATTTGTCTTGGTGCAAATGCTCTCAGTGTCCATAAAAGAAAAAATACATTCGTCAAGAGCCAAGAATCATCAGGTACAACACTTAATGATAGTCATACGGTACAATAAGCAATCAAATCATACTAGGAAACAGTCCATATAAATCGTAAGGATACAAGCGACAAAGTTAGTCATGCAGTCACAAGTGGGAGGGGATGGGTGATAAGGAGTGAGGAGAAGATTAACAGTAATAGTAGTGCAGACTTCGTAAATAGTTGGACAGTGTTGAGGGAATTATTTGTTTAGCAGAGTGATGGCTTTGGGGGGCGAAATTCCCCTTGTGCCTAGTTGTTCTGGTGTGCAGAGGATCCTGGCTGCATTTAGTGCTGAGATAAAAATTATAAGTTACTCTTTTATAATAGAATTCATATAATTAGACTAGAAGATTCTCTTTTGCTCTTTCTGATGCTTCTTGTTAACTTTTTTCTCTTTTTCTGCATAGACACCTCCCCCCACCCCAAAACCTAAAATGTGTTCAGTCACAAGTACACGATACATTGTTATAATCTTCTTGGAGATGGGAAGTTCTGCTAGGCAACAAGGGAATATCCTCCCAGAAACCCAGCAGCCAAACCAAGCTAAGACACTGAAACAATGTCATGCTGACCCTCCAGCTTGTCCTTTAGCATCTAGAGAATAGTGGGTGGGGGTATGTGTGTGTGTGGGGAGGGCTTCTTGGGCATGGCTGTTCTGGGCAGGGGTCTAAAAAGTATTGCTTGAATATGGAGGCTTGCTCTTCTTGTACCCAGTCCACTTGGGAAGGGACTTGAAGGCCCGTTTGCAAACGCTTATTTTCTTTAATAAACCTTTGAATGGTGAACCAGACTTGTTCCTGTGTTGTGAGTATTGAATAATTGGGTTCTGACATGTCCCAGTGCGATCCCCAATTCAGCCCAGGACCCACCAGAACTTCTCCGACAGCCGGTTCCAAGAGCCCCTTCCACCGGGTGGGAATCTCCCCCGGGGAAGCCAGCCTGAATTCTAACCCCCCCCCCCCCCCCCCCGCCGCGGGAAAGGAGGGGCCGGGCCCCCCCCCGGGCGGGGGGGGGGGGGGCGCTCTCGGCCTGCTCGTTCTGCGACCTCCACCCCGAGCTGCCAGCCCAGGCCCTCCGCCCCCGCCGGCCGGGCTCCGTCTTCCCGGACTCGCCAACCGGACCGCTGGACGGCCCCCGAGGGTGCGGCGCTTGGGGCGGGGCAGGCCAGGCCCGGAGGGGGTGTCCGTGGAGGGTCAAGCCCCCCCCCCCCGCACCCTCCCAGCCCCGGCGGGGGCGGGGAAGGGGGCGCCCGGAGGGGGGCAGGAGCGGCGGCGGCGACGGGCTTGCGCGCGCCCTCCTGCCCGCGCCCGGGAGGCGGTTCCCGGCCCGCCCCTCCCTCCCGTGCTGCTTAGCGGCGCGGGAGGCGGGTTGGAGTTTAAATCCTGCCGGCCAATGGGCAGCGCGCTCGGCCGCCCGTAACGCTCCGGCTCCGGCTTCGAAGGCTCCGGCGGCGGCGGCGGCGAGCGAGCGAGCGAACGGACGGGCGGGCGAGGGCGGCGGCGGCGGCGGGGATGAGCGCGGCGGTGCCCGGCAGGAGCTCCCGGCCGGCGGGGGTGGCGGCTCCCGGGCGGGGGGCGACGGCGACGGCGCAGCAGAAGCAGCAGCCGCCCCAACCGGCGGCGCCCGCGCCCTCCTCCTCCTCCTCCTCGGCGTCGGAGAGCCGGGCGGTGCCGGAGGTGCTGGTGGACCCTCGGAGCCGGCGCTGCTACAGCCTGGGCCGCTTCCTGGGCAAGGGCGGCTTCGCCAAGTGCTACGAGATCACGGAGGCGGAGAGCCGCGAGGCCTTCGCCTGCAAGGTGGTGCCCAAGGCGCTGCTGCTGAAGGCGCCGCAGAAGGAGAAGATGACCATGGAGATCGCCATCCACCGCAGCCTCCAGCACCGCCACGTGGTGGCCTTCCAGGGCTTCTTCGAGGACAGCCACTTCGTCTTCGTGGTGCTCGAGCTCTGCCGCCGGCGGGTAGGCAGGCGGGCGGGGCGGGAGGGGCCCCGGGGGGTATGTGTGCCCCTCGCCGGTTCTGCTCCTGCGCTTGGCCGGGAGGGGAGGGGAGGGGCTGCCCTCGCCCGGCCCGCCGGTGGCCGGCGGGAAGCCGCGGCAGTGCCCCCCTCCCCCCGGCTGCCGTTAGACTCCCAGGAGGAGGGGCGGGGGCTCCGGCCTCCCCCATTTGAAAGCGAGCGTTTCGGCCGTCTCTGTCGGGGATCGGCTGCTCCCTTCTCCGCTTGGATCCTGCCTGGCGCTCTCCGAGGGCCAAGCGGGGCTCCTGGGTGCCTAAACGCTGAGCGTCGGCAAACGGGCTGCGGGGCTGACCTGGGGGGAGAAGGGAGGCGACCCCGGGCTCCCCCAACCGCTTCTCTTCCCGACTTCCATCTTGAAGCCTCTTTTGGGCTCCTCCCTGCCCCCCCCCTTGCCTGAAAGCAACTCGAGCGGGAGTGATGCCTTGTGCAGGTGTGTCCATGCCTCTCCCAGGTGAGCTTTACAAATCAAAGAAAACCCCTTCCTTGGGGCCAAAGACCAGCAAAAGGAGGGCATAAAAGACACAAGGGACGTTAAACTTGCATGCAAAAAGACCCAGAGACATAGAAACTACCGGGAGAACCTAAAACCGAGGGGGAGTTGCAGTCCGTAGGGGGGCTGCAGGGGCACCTGGCAAACCAGATCTGAGACACTCTAGAACAGGGGTGTCCAACCTTGGCAACTTTAAGACTTGTGGACTTCAACTCCCAGAATTCTCCAGCCAGCTTTTCTGGGAGTTGAAGTCCACAAGTCTTAAAGTTGCCAAGGTTGGACACCCCTGCTCTAGAATAAGACACAGGATCTGGTTTATGGCAGTTGAATCGGACGCAGCCCCTTGCTTGGCCCCTTTTCTCATTCCGACAGCCTGGGGGGGGGTCGCATTCCTACTTGGAGTGAGGACCCTTCATGGAGCAGGCCTTTTGGATGAAGCAGACACCAGTCAGCGAGGAATCTCCTGCACTGAAGTCTAGGGGGGGAGTCTCCAGCCGTGTCCACTTTTAAGCCTGGTGGACTTCAACTCCCAGAGCAAAGCTGGCTGGGGAATTCTGGGAGTTGAAGTCCGCCAGACTTAAAGTGGCCAAGATTGGAGACCCCCCCTGGCCTAGGAAGAGATATAAAGAGAGGTGGTGTGGTGGGAGAGGGGTTTCCAAGGAAATGTTGGCGCACTGACCAGTGGCGGAAGGATCACCCCTCCCAAATATCTAATTGGTCCTCTGCGAGTATCTTCTTCCAGCCAGCGTCTTGCTCAGAGTTTGGGGATGGGGTTAAGGAGACTGATCAGGATGAATCCTCCTCCTGAGGGGTGGGATGCAGAGCAAGGGGGGAGGCCACCCTCCCCCAGAAGCCCAGATTGTTCTCAATGGCTCCTGGAGGGATGAGGTTTCTGGGCTCTGCAGCGGGTGCCCACCTGGGCAGGTTTTCTATCCTTCGGCCAGGGCGCCTCCTTCCAGGAGGGGGGTCCCTGCAGAGGTTCTGAAAGAAGGCTTCCTTGGGGGGGGGGGTGCAATGGTCCAGCTGTGGCTGGAGCCAGTTCTTTGGCAGCTTTGCAGGAGGCGCCCGGAAGAGCCGAGTCATCATTCAGTTGGCCTGATTGAGCCAGTGTCCGGCTGTTTCCCATGGCTTCCTCTTTCCTGCACGCCAGCAGTTGCTGGTGGTGTCTTTTCTGCTGGAGGAGATCCTGTGCTGCTCCTGGTGTAGAATTGGATACCTGGGTCTACTGAGTGGTAGCAGGAGCTTTTTTGGCTTGGAGGGGGTGAAGGGGTTGTACTTCTCCAGGGGGAGACTCGGTTGGGGTCAGGGCAGCCTGGAGGTGACCTCAGGCCACTAGTTCAGCTGGCCTTTGGTTGAAGTGGGGATAGCAGGGGTTGGTACGGTAGCAGGAGGCCATTTCTGATGGAAGGCATTTCACTGGAGCGGGTTTGGGAAGGGGTTGCTTGCAAACTTAAGGATGACTCTGCAGGGGGGCTGATCCCCCATTCTGGAGGTGAATTTGGCTGGAGGGTCACTTTCAAGGACACCCTTCGGAATTCAGCCTGAGGACTGTTTGAGCTAGGGAGAAACCTGCCAACTTTGATCTTTGGATTTTTGAGCCCAGGGTTCTTCAGGATTGGGGAGGGGGAATTTGTGCTTTTGAAGAGGGTGTCCTCACTGGCCAGGGGGGCCATACTTTGGCTTGTCCAGTGCAGGTAGAAGTGGGGTGGGGGCTGTTTCTCCTGGGGGCAGGAGAGCCCCCCCCCCCGGGTTTTGGAGGCAGGTGAGGCTCAATCTCCGGACTGAGTTTCTGTATTGAGGGGGGGCTTTGCAATGTTTGCAGGGCAGTTTCTTTGGGGCCTTGGGATTGCCTGGTTTTCCAGAGTGGAGCTCACGGGAGTCCCTGCCAGTATCGCTTTCACAATCATTGGCGAGGGAGTCGTGTGCTTTCTGTGCGCCTTTGAGGAGAGGCAGTGGCCTGAGAGGGTTTAGGGCGGGGGGGGGTCTCCAACCTTCGCAACTTTTAAGACTTGGGGGCTTCAACTCCCAGAGTTCCACAGCCAGCATGTTGGGCAACCCCCCTGCCCTGGTTTAGAGCGGGGGGGGGGGGGGTGTCCAACCTTAGCAACTTTAAGCCTGGCAGACTTCAGATCTGAAGCGTGGCATAGAAACTCTTTGCTGTGAGAGATTCCTACCTCGCCAATGAATCCCAGGTAAACATATTGAAGTCGAAGCTTACTAAACATAAAGGTGGTTTCATAACATTATTGGGTACCTTAGGTTTCTTTATTTTTTTTCTTTAAAATTCCATGTCTAAATCAGGTAACCTATATATGAGAGAGAGACTCCCATTACTTTTTAGAAGAGTAAACAAGCTAAGTTTATATGGGCCTCCTGACTGTATTAATATACTATAGTACAAGGGTCTTCCAATTTTTCAAGTTTAAGACTTGTGGACTTCAACTCCCAGAATTCCTGAGCTAACATGACTGGAGGACAAATTCTGGGAGTTGAAGTCCACAAGTCTTAAAGTTGCCAAGTTTGGGGACCCCTGGTTTAGGGGCTGAGTTAGGGAGGCTTACAAGCACCACGCCTGCTTTGAGTTTCCCCAAAGTTTCTGAATGCTTTTACGAGACCCTCCCTACAGTGGGGAGGGAGGCACTTGCCTCTTCTGACCTCAGCTCCTCACAGTGCTGTCCGGAATGCTCTTCTCTCCCCCCACAGTCCCTTTTGGAGTTGCACAAGCGTCGGAAAGCCCTGACGGAGCCTGAGGCCCGTTACTACCTGCGCCAGATCATCCTGGGCTGCCAGTACCTGCACAGCAACCGCGTCATCCATCGCGATCTCAAACTGGGCAACCTGTTTCTGAACGATGACATGGAGGTGAAGATCGGTGAGTGGGCTGCGGTCTCATTCTCTGGGCAGGGCTGAGTGGGGGGGTGGGACCTCCCCGGCCCGGGAGGGGTCTTGGGCCCTGCTGCCTTTCAGGCCTGGTGGCTCGGTGGCCGCATCCTCTCCAGGATGCTGAAGCAGCCGGCAGGGAAGGTGGGGCTGTTGCCCAGTTGTAGGCAACACTGCACTGTGGTGGCGCAGTGGTTGGAATGCAGTACTGCAGGCTACTTCTGCTGACTGATTGCAATTTGGCAGTTTGAACCTCACCAGGCTCACAGTTGGCTTAGCCTTCCATCCTTCCCAGGTGGGTAAAATGAGGGCCCGGATTGTTGGGGGGCAAGAGACTGACTCTGTACACCGCTTAGAGAGGGCTGGGAAGCGGTGTGTAAGTCTTAGGGCTGCCCAACTCAAACTGTGATTCTGGATGAGATGCAAAAAGGGAAAATGGGGTGGGTTGGGGGACATAATTCATACAAAGTCACTGATTTAAACATTAAAATGGGGAATAGAACCATGCTCCACCTTCCCATAAAGTGGGTGGGTGGGTGGGAACCGCCCAATTTTCACCACCTTCTTAAAGCCAACCAGCGGGAGATTGTCCCAAAGGACAGGGGCTGCCCCAGAGAAGGTCCACCTACCTCCTGAGGCCCTTAGAGGCCTGGATCCAGTGAAGGGCCTGGAATGTGATTCTCCCAGAAGCTGTTGGTGCAATAGGTAACTCAATTCCATGCCGGGAAGATCTTTATGGGTGCCCAGAAGCTCTTTGGGTGCCAGTACAGCTCCCATAACTACCACCCATTCTGCACCAGCTTCTTCAAGAGCAACCCTGCCCAGATTTGGGGCCCCACAGACTCTCCATTTCCAGCATCTGTGGGGCCCTAAACCCATAGCCTCCCGAGTCCGGAGAGAAGCTTTGCCGGGCTAGCTGGGGCAGAGATGTAGCGGACATCGCCTAGAGGTGGAATAGGATCAGGGGGCACGGGCTGGGCTGCTGCCTCCTCCTCCACCCCCAACCTGAGCCAGTCTCAGAGAAAGGCGGAGGAGCCCCGTCAAACCCCGCTGGATCTCCTGAGCTGGTCTAGAAGGAGACCCTGGTCGATGGCCTGAAAGGATGCCGAGAGATCCAGGAGAAGTAAGGAGGACTCTCCCAACTTGGACCCTACAACTAAAGTCTCTGCACTTATCCCACTCTGGGACCTGACTGGGGGGGCTCCAGATAATCACCTGCTTCCAGGACCCCCTGGAGAGGGAGGGAGAGGGAGGGAGAAGACCCAAAGGCTTTCCTGGTTTCCCCCCAGCAGCCTCCCAGGTCAGTGTGGTCCAGTCCAAAGCTGCTGTCACCAAAGTCTCAGCCTTGCTCAACTCAGATCTGTTCGGCTCCCGAGGCAGCTGGATTTAAGAGTCCTTCCTTTTGGGGGTGGGGGGGCGGAATGTCATGGTGAACTGTGGGTCACCAGGGAGCAATCTGCCCAGGGCAAGGGGCAGAGAGTGGAGGTCTCCAACTCCAGATCCTGTTGCCACTGCCCCACAACGGGGCTGGCCTAGGGGGCGCGCACACACTCTGCACCTGGGAGTTGAGGCCACGGTGGCTGTGAATTGCAGCTGCATTGGCCCAGGGAAAATGGGCCGTTCATGGTCTTGCCACCATGAGCGTGGGCACTGCCAACCCAAGAGGCGGCATCAAGCGGGGTGGACAGGGAAGCTGCCACTCTAACCCTGAAGGCCCAGCCCCAGGAGTGGGATTCTAACCCGCCATCTGTGGGAGGGGTGGGGATGACCTGACCACCCTCTGACTCCTCCAGAAAATGCTAGTGCAATTATCCAGCTGGGTCCCAGCCGGTGCTTCCCCCCCTCTGTCCCGAGCTGTGTCTCGGGCATGCACATCAGGGTGGGGGCACTCAGAGACCTTCATAAAAGGCCAGCCTGGCGTTTGGAACACCGGCTGGAGCCCAAGCCCACCCCAGGACCAGGAAGCGGGGATGGAGCCGGGCTGGAATGCAGGCCTGGTGGGAGGCGCAGGCTCACGTTTCCCGGGCCTGATTCCCGCCGTGTCGCCTGTTGCCCAACAGCTTCTCTTCTGCTGGGCGAAGCGCTAAAGGAGCTAAGAGGCCAAGAGCTTCTGGCTTGTCTCCTTGGTGGGAAAAGCCCAGCGTTGCAATCAGCACAGCAGGAGCAAAGGCCCATCTTCAGAACTTGTCCCTCACTGGCCCTGCGGGTGATTCCTGGAACTCCTGAAATATTGAGCCCATCATGGCTGCCCTTGGATCTTTTTTTCCCCCAAAGAGAGAAAACAGATGTTGGGATTCAAGGGCTTTTCCAAACTCGTAGCTGTTTGCGTCTAGGAGCCCTCGGAGGCTGCTGGGCCGGGGGGAAAGGGGCTTTCCGGAGCTGCGAGAGCCAGGCTGGCCTGTGGCTTGGAGACCCTCTTCGGGTCTATAGCTCAGGCACCTGGGAGAGGTATCTGGGCGGCTCCACCTGCTGGGTTTGGGTGCCCCCCTAGCCAAGCTGGACTCAGGAGCCTGCCCCTTGTGTCTCTCCAGGTGACTTCGGCCTGGCCACCAGGGTGGAATACGACGGGGAGCGGAAGAAGACCCTGTGTGGGACGCCAAACTACATTGCCCCCGAAGTGCTGTGCAAGAAAGGGCACAGCTTTGAAGTGGACATCTGGTCCATCGGCTGCATCATGTAAGTTGGGGGTGCCTGAAGACAGGTGGAAATCCTAAGAGGAAAACTACACACACACACACACACACACACACACACACACACACACACACAGCAGAAGGGGCCTTGGGGAGGGGAGTCTTGTGCACGCCCCCCCCCCCCAGTTCTGCAGATTGGGGAATGGACAAATAGGGGTTCAGGGGGACTCTGCAGACCTTGTCCCAGAGGGGCTTTCTCTCAAAGGCAGCTGGACTTCCTTCTTTGGCTAGAAGATCTCTTGCTTCTCATCCAAGAAGCTTCTTTGGTTCTGACCGAATGGTGGAGAATGGAAGGATTTATGTTCCTTGCAGTCATCTGACCATTCACATTCTTTCTGGTGGCCTCAGTGACTCTCAGAAAGAATCCTAATAACCAGATGACTACAAGGAATAGAAATCCTTCCATTCTCCACCATTTGATCAGAACTGAAGAAGCTTCTTGGATGAGGAGCAAGAAGTCTTCTAGCGCAGTGGTCGCCAACCGGTGGATCAGGAGAAAATTTTGGTGGTCCGCAGAGTAATGTCACCCCCAAAGCAATTAATCCAGGCTGTGCCCACATGACCTGCGGGAACACAAGGCTTGCGTCACTTGCATTGCAAACAACGTGAGGGGGGGGGAGGGCGGAGGGGGGAAACTCGCCCCACGTGCCTGGCCTGGCCACCGGGCTGCTTCTTTCCGCTTCTTTCTTCTGCTTTTGGCTGCATGCAAGGAAAGCAGCCAAAGTCTTTCTTTCTCTCCCCCAAACTCCACCAGAAATGAGTCTTTGGGACCCTGCAAGGCCTCCTGCTCCAAGAGGCTGCGCCAGCAAAGACTCATTTCTGTCGGAGTTTGGGGGAGAGAAAGAAAGACTTCTGCTGCTTCTGCTACTTTCCTTGCATTAAGCCAAAAGTCTCTCTCCCTGAGAACAGAGCTGGAGACGGGATCCTGTGATCCCAAATAAAGAACGATCAATCGGTAGGAAAACGGGGTGGGGAATTTTCCTGCAGACATTTTTGGGGATTTTCCCAGGGTCTCTGGTCTGTGGGATTTAAAATGATGAGTTTGGTGGTCCCTGAGGTCCAAAAGGTTGGCGTCCCCACAAGGGGCAAAGCAAGGGAGTCCAGTTGCCTTTGAGAAAAAGCCCCTTTGGGGCAACCATGACCAGTTGAGGGTCTCCATAGACACCTGCAGGGCTTTCTCTGTAAGAAGGCGGGGCTCCCCAAAGAGCAGAGACAATTCAACAACCTCAGCTTATAACCTGTGGCTGCTTGAAGTCCCTCCGTGTGATTATCGGGCGTGACTTCTCGGTGACAAAAGCCACGTTGAGACACCAGGGACTTGGGAGGCCCATCAGCTGGGTGGCTCAACAGGTGGAACCCTTCCTGCATTGTGCCTGGGGGGGGGGGGTTCGGGTGTGGCTGGCTCTCGTGATCCGGGAAGGGGGAGCAGAACTGGCTCTGCCTTCTGAAAATCGCCACCTCTGGTGGCACTGGAAGATGGGCACTGGGCATCTTGGCTTCAGAGGGGGCTTTATGGGGGGGGGGAATGGTCCTGAAGCTGTTTCTCCTTGCAGGTACACCCTCCTGGTTGGGAAGCCACCCTTTGAAACCTCCTGCTTGAAAGAAACGTACATTCGGATTAAGAACAATGCATACACGATTCCTACGGTGGGTCCTTTTTGAAGGCCCCAGCTGCCCGTTGGGGCTGGGCCGGCTTTGCACTCCTGGCCCCACCATCCGGGTCTGCTTGGCGTGAATGCAGAACACGTGTGTCCTTGCCTGCTCTTCCCTCAGCCTCAGGTGCCTGGGACCCTCAATGAATCGTGGCTCTCCACCTGCCCCCAAGTCTTCCTCCTGTGGCTGTGGGAGCTGCACTCCTAACAGATTGTAGTTTGGCAACACTTGGTAGCTGCTCCCTTTCAGTCCTTTTCATTTCAATGCCTGAAATCTTACGTTGCCCCGAGTCACTTTACAGCAGGGGTGTCCAACCTTGGCAACTTTAAGACTTGTGGACTTCAACTCCCAGAATTCCTCAGCCAGCAAAGCTGGCTGAGGAATT